AAGGTATCCACTCCTAGTATTTTCTTTCCAGGAAGCATCCCCTATTTTTAAAAAACTTTTAAATAAGATATACACATGACTTAATTCAACCTCACAGAGACTTTTAATTACTGGGTCAAATGTTTTCTCTGGCCATTGGCCCTCTTCAAATTTAATTTCTTTCCAGTCTGACCCAGATTGCATTGTCTACCTCCATAAACACTGCCTAGAAAAACAAAGATATCCACAGTCCCGTTTGCCAGCTCTGGAGGAAAAATCTAGGCTTAGTAACATGACCCCCACCCTGAACCTTGTGATGGTTTGAACGAGAATGGCCCCCACAGGCTCATATGTCTAAATACTTGGCCCCTGGTTACCTGGTTAGTGGAACAGTTTCAGAAAGATTAGGAGGTGTGGCCTTGCTGCAGTGGGTGTGGCCATGTTGGAGGATGTGAGTCACTGGGGGGAGGGCTTTGAGGTTCCAAAAGATGTCAGCAATTCCCAGTGCTTTTTCTCTCTGCCTCGTGCTTGTGGGTCAAGATGTAGGCCCTCAGCTACTGCTCCAACTCCATGCCTGCCTGCCTGTGAGATGCCATGCTCCCTTCCATGATGGGCATGAACTTCTATCCCTCTGAAACTGCAAACCTCACAAACCCCTTCTATAAGTTGCCTTGGTCATGGAGTTTTGTCACAGCTATAGAAAAGTACCTAATACAAGCATGTGCCCCGAAACTTGGTTGCTCTCTACTGAAAAAATGCAACTGATCACACCTCCAAGCACTAGGATTGCAGGAGCACGTTCTGGGATTGAACTTGGGCTTTTTGTGCTTCCTTGGCAAGTGCTATACCAACTGCACTATCTTCCCGACCCTGGTGATTCTTTTACAATCCAAATCTCAAAATGCGTAGTAAAGACTGATGAAAATAGAAAGAAATCACACATGAAGAATTATCTTGCATGCCTGTCGTCCAGCATTGATTTCAACAAGGAGCCAGTATCTACGTCAGCCCCACTAAGCCATGTGGACATCATGCTTATTTTAAGGTCCATTCTGGCACTGCTACTTCAGTGTATTGGTGGCTTTAACAACAGTTACAACCAGAAAACATGCAATCCTACTTATTACAGAGACTCTGAGAAATGTCTGGGTACCACTATTCTTTCTCTAGGAAGGAAAAACCAGGTTGCTGAGACCAAGTGACTTCTCTGAGGATGCCGGGACACACATTAATACGGAGGTTTCATTTTGTTACCTGCTGTCAGCAGCCTGGAACACACGGGGGAGCTGGAGAGAGCCCCTAGTTCTCAGGAGCCACCATCCTCCTGGGGGAAATAGACTTGCTTCTTACCCAGAGCCTCATCCTAACGTGTGCTAAGGGTTGCTGACTCTAGTGCTTCATCAGATGTCACTGTCACTGATTAACATCAGGGGTCATATCAGTCATAGAAGAAGTCCGGAACTGTGTACCATCTCTTCTCGGTGACCCTGAGCTTTCCACATGGAAGACCGGGCATCTTCCTTTCACCACCTGTCTTAGTTGGGTGCTGATTGCTGTGAGGTGACACCATGACCACAGAAACTCTCATGACGGAAAACATCTGAGGAGGTGGCTTACAGTTCGCAGGTTCAGTCCATTATCATCATGGTGGGGAGCATGGTGGTGTGCAGGCAGACAAGGTGTTGGAGAAATAGTTGAGAGTCCTACATCTTCCAGGCAACAAACAGGAAGTTGACTGAGATGCTGGGTGGTATCCTGAGCATAGGAAACCTCAAAGCCTGCCCCCACAACAACACACTTGCTCCAAGAAGGCCACACCCACTCCAACAAAACCACACCTCCCAACAGTGCCACTATCTACGAGATTATGGGGGCCAATTACACTCAAACTACCACACCCGCACATCTTTCAGATCTTTCAGCTTCTCCAACCTCTGAGACTCTTGTCCCATGCCTGGAGACTCATGGGAGGACTTCTGTCCCTTCTGCATGACTACAGTTGACTTTCTTGTATTCCTCTCTATTTCTCCTTATTGACACTGGATGACAGGGACCCAAGGATGATGTTCTCCTCTTTTCCTTCTAACCCAAGCCACCAGGCTACACACTCGGCTCTGCCATGCTTCTCACCATTAGCTCCTGGCTTCTCCCTTTCTCCCTCTCCCCCCAGTTCTTCGGTGGTTAGCTCTCACCATTACCCTCTGAATTCTCTCCAGTGGAGCTTAGTGTCTACATGATAGCACATCTATCTCATCCAATGACACAATTCCTCTCACTCTGTCCTCATCCTAGCTCAGTCACCCAGCACCCCTGGATTTCTTAACTTTGTCATCTCTCATCAGGCTCCTCCTTCCACATCCTGTATCCTGTATTCATTATTTAGTCAATAACTATTTTAGTAGTCATCCCTTTCCTCAAAGCCTAAGGTGGTGTGTCAGCAATAGCTCCTCGATGTCTCTCTCCTTCCCTTTCCCCATCTCTCTGCTCTGCTAGATGAATTCTCAGAGGAAGTTATTAGCATCCCTTCCCTGGATTCACTCCCCTCTGTTTCCTGATCACCCTGCATGGAATCTGCACTCTCTCTCCTTCGTTCTCCTACATTAGTTTTGTATTTCTCTAGGACAGTATATATCACATATGATGTATGCTGAACATGCTTATGTATATACAACAGAGCTTATTTTTCTAAAGTGCTGCTGATGGCTGTTTCTTTTTTTTATACTTATGTCCCTATAACCTAGAATGATTCATAGCTCACAGTAGGTGCTCAGTATTATCTTCTTTCTCATCTTCCTTTTAATGAAGGGAGAGAAGGAATGAAGCTTGGTTTCCTAGGACATAGACATCAATATTACGGTGATATTCTATGTTGCCATAACTAATCAGGGTAATATTAATTTTGATTATTACTTGATTAAATTCCAGGAGAATGAAAAGTAGCCCAACTTGCATGCAAATCTAAGAAGATTATTTAAGATTATTACAGTTGGCTTCTTTCCCTATTAATTACGCAGTGAGTCTGAAACAAATATGGAAACAATTTGCAAATATTGGTGTGAGTTAGAGAGAAGTCCCCACTATCTGAACAGAAGCACTGGGGTAACAATTATTAGTTCTTTCAAGAAGTCTCAAGTTCTCAACGAAAATGGCTATGAGGATATCATGGGGATATATGTATGGAAGAGCCAGGTAACAACTAGTGCTTGTTAGTTTTGACTTGAATTGACATTTATATCCGCAATTCTAGAAGCTTACAATATAAGGCATCAAGGGGAGACATACTACAATATCACGGTGGTAACAGGCAATTGTATTTTGCCATGCACATGTACTGTGATAGTTGATCTCACCGTCAACTTGACAAGATCTACAACCACCTTGGGCAAGTCTGTGAGGGATTATCCTTGTTATATACATTGAGCTGGGGAGGCAGCCCCACTGTGGGTGGCACCATTCCCTAGGTTGGTATCCTAGTCTGTGTGAGTGCAGAAGAGCTGAACATCGGGAAGCACTCATCCCCCTCTGCCTCCTGACTGTGGATGCTATGTGAGCGGCTGCTTAAAGCTTCTGCTCCTTGCCTCACCTCCCTCCATCCTTGAACTGAGTGGCAGGATAGCCCTTTGTCTCTTAAGTTGATTTCTTCAAGGTATTTTTTCATAGCAACGAGAAAAGAAACAGCACCAAAACAAAGGCAATCCCAGAACCCGCTGGCAAAACTGAGTGGGTCACCACAGTTCCATTTGCCTGTTGTGTGGACAGGGCTGGCAGAGAGTAAAAACCAGCATCAGGGTATCAGGTCAGTCAACACGTTGCCAATTACGTAGTGCAAGCATTGCAAGGACAATTTAACACCAAGATTAACATACTGATGCAGACTCTGTAATTTCATAGAAGGATTAGGAAAGGTACAGTTGCATTTGATTTCCATGGGGATTGGTTTCCGTAGTCCCACTGACTATGGAACTTTGGGGGTACTCAAGTCACTTTCTTATATAGAATGGTGTAGTAGTATCTACATATAACGTATACACATCCCCTAGTAGGCTTTAAATCATTCTCAGACTGCTAATAACATCCAATATAATGCAAATACTGTATTCATATTCTACTATATCTACAAAATTTGTACTAATTTTTATTGTAATGTTTTTGTGTTGGTTAAGTGTGTAAGTGTACAATGTTTTTGGGGGGATACACATGCATGTGTGGCAGTCAAAGGACAACCTTGAGAGTCAGTTCTCACATCCCACCTTGTTTGGGACAGGGTCACTTTGTAGCACATGGTAGTTACCTTTGGGGTAGGGTGGGGTTCCCCCATTCTTCTGCTGTAGGGACACAGGGATTAGCTTTTGTGTCTGGTTTTACATGGGTCCTGGAGACTCCAACTCAGGTCACACTTGCATGGCAAGTGTCTTTATCTGAGCTATCTCCTTAGTCTCATTTCAATCTGTGGTTGACTGAATCTGCTGATGCGAACTCAGAGATACAGAAAGTCAATGTGGTTTCAATCAGTCAAGAGTATCATAATACGTGTGTGTGTATGTGTGTGTGCGCGCACACGCACACGCATGCACACGAGCCATCCTTTGGATGTTGCACATTCTCCTGCATTAGGAGAATGGCTACTATGAAGCATAAGTAACACACTGGGAACAGAGGGAGCCTGCATACCCACTCACAGTGGTATCAGGGATGTCTGTGCCTATTGATCCCTCAGGCATCCTTCATCTCTGCATTTGTTTGTTTGTTCGCCTGCCACTCTGCAGTGCCTGCTTACTACTCCAGTCTTGAGATGAAATGCGCTGGCAGGGAGCAGATGTACCAATTAATAACCTGTCAGGTCTGATGGATAGAAGAGGGGGTGGTGTCCTCACGTGTGTGTCTCCGTCGTGGCTTCCTTCCCTGTTTCAGGGTGCCGCGGGTCATGAGACACACGCTGCCTCCCCAGGGAGGGTCCAAACGGTCTCATTAGCGTCCATCTTTCATGACACTGTGATGCGGCCTTTGAAAGGCTGACTCACCTGCTCTTCTCCAAGAATCCTGAAGTGATGGAGCTCTTTAATCAAGGAGTTGGGACAGCCAGCTGTGGGAGAGGAGAATTAATCACAAAAGTGTCACTGTCACTCTGTGAAGCAGCTCCTTTCTTATACACTGTTATGACTGTCAATAGCTGATGCTGATGTTGACGAAGACACAAATACACGGCTGGAAACACACATCTCCCCGCCCGAGCACAAAGGACTCAGACCTTCAAAGCAGCGTTGGCCATTACTTGGGCTCACACTGTAACCCTTTAGGAAAGGCCTGTCTGTATGTGACTTGTCCCCTGGAATGAAGGTTATGACCTGGTCTTAGGATGTCATGGTCTTCTGGAATTTATAAATGCACCCTGATACAGAGGTAGAACTGGAAGGGGAGAGCCAGTGACTATAGGTTCTCACATGTTGACCAGGGTTCTACTCATTAAGGCTTGGGAATGGAGGCAGAAGGCTGGGGATCCTGTCTTCACAGGATTTGCTGGAGTTTAAGAGACCACCTTTAATCCCAGCACTCGGGAGGCAGAGGCAAGTGGATCTCTGCGAGTTTGAGGCCAGCCTGGTCTACAGAGTGAGTTCCAGGACAGCCTCCAAAACAATACAGAGAAATCCTGTCTTGAAAAACAAAACAAAACAACAACAAGCAAAAGGAGAAACTTCCACTACTTTCTAGTTCTCCTAATCAATCCTTAACTCTTTAGCTTTCCCATTGTCTTCCTTTAGTCATAAAATGAAAATAAATACATTACATACTCACACTTGCATTCAAAGATGCACACATTTGTAAATGTTTAGTATCAGCTAAAACATGTTCTGTCCCTACCTCCTCAGTGAAATTATTCCACAGTGTTAGGCTGTAGTCGTTCATAATATTTACTCCAGAAACAAAATTGATATTAAAAACCTGTTCCTCTGAGATAAGCCCCAAGGATTGCATAAATTCACTGACATTTCCATTAAGGAAATTGGATCATATGCAGAACACACCAGAGAAGCCCTGAGCCGATTCTCCTTCACTGAGCACCAGGAGGTAAGGAAGGTGGAAGGGACTGAGAGGGCTTTCTGAGTGAGGGCGGGTTAAGAGAGGACAAGAGGTGTCTTCACATAGGTGAAGTTGTCCTTTGCATGAGTGTTAGAAGTTAGAACTGAGTGACGGTGTAGACTAGCGATAAGAGGTGCTCACATAGGGCTGAATAGTGACATGGGATTTTAAAGGGAATTTGGGGTAATGATGACTGTATCAACTTGACTGGCCAATGTCATGCCAGTTTTAGTTGGTAGGTTTAACAGAAGATCTGCCCTCATCTATGCCAGGGAGCATCACACACTCTATCCAGGACAATGAGCACAAGTAGCATGCAGGGGAAAGATGCAGGGAAGGATGCAAGGATGGATGCAGGGAAGGATGCAGGGAAGGATGTAGGAGAAGGATGCAGGGAAGGATGCAGGGATGGATGCAGGAGAAGGATGCAGGGAAGGATGCAGGGATGGATGCAGGGAAGGATGCAGGGAAGGATGCAGGGATGGATGCAGGAGAAAGATGCAGGAGAAGGATGCAGGGAAGGCTGCAGGGATAGATTCAGGAGAAGGATGCAGGGATGGATGCAGGGAAGGATGTAGGGAAGGATGTAGGGAAGGATGCAGAAGGATGCAGGGAAGGATGCAGGAGAAGGATGCAGGGAAGGATGCAGAAGGATGCATGGAAGGATGATGCTTTCTGGATTGGGACATGAATGTTTTCTTGCCTTTAGACCACAGAGCCCCTGGTCTTTAGTCCTCTGACCTGGGCTTGGATCAGGCCCTGACCCTATTCCTTTTCATCTTTTGTTCCCAAGGTGAATTATACCACACCTTCCTGGTTCTCTGGCTTGAGAGGGCAGATTGATATTTCTCGGCTACCATACCCATGTACACCAATTCCAAAACAGCCCTTCCTATATGTTTTTTATTGTATTTTATTTTCCAGTTTAAATTTAGATAAGAAACAAGGTGGCTTCACAAGTCAGTTCCAGGTCCCTCTCCCTTTCCCTCCCCTCCTCCCGTACCCTCCCCCCAATCCCCCCCATTATCCCCTCATTCCCCCAGGGAGGGTGGGGCCCTCCATGGGGGTGTCCATAGTCTGTCATTTCATATAGGGCAGGGCCTAGACCCTTCCCCAAGAGTTCAGGGTAAGAGTGCACCTCACATTGTTCTATGGGAGTCCAAAGTCCGTGTGTATACTTGGGATGGGTACTGATCTGCTGCCCAAGGCTCAATAGATTACCTAGGCCTCCTCACTGACACCCAGATTCAGGGGGTCTTGATCAGTCCCATGCTGGATTCCCAGACTGATGCCTGGGATTCAAGAGTTAGCCTTTGTCTGGTCAGCTGTTTCTGGGGGTTAAACCAGCCCAGTCTTAATCCCTTTGATCATCAGTCCTCCCTCTCTGTTACTGGCTTTCTTGAGTTCAGCTCAGTACTTAACCTAGGGAGTCTGCCTCTTCTTCGATCAGGCACTAAATGAAGTTTCTGTTTCCCAGACTCTCTGGCCATAGGAGATCCCCAGATCTATGTCTAAAATCCATATATGAGAGAGTACATGCCATGTTTCTCTTTTTGTGACTGGGTTACCTCACTCAGGATGGTTTCTTCTAGTGTCATCCATTTGCCTGCGAATTTCATGATTCCATTGTTTTTTTTCTGCTGAATAGTACTCCATTGTGTAAATGTACCACATTTTCTCTATCCACTCTTCGGTTGAGGGACATCTAGGTTGCTTCCAAGTTCTGGCTATTACAAATAAAGCTGCTATGAACATAGTGGAACAGACATCTTTGTTGTATGAATGGGCATCTTTTGGATATATGCCTAAGAGTGGAGTTGCTGGGTCTTGTGCTAGGTTTATTCCCATTTTTCTGAGGAATCTCCATACTGATTTCCAAAGTGGCTGAACCAGTTGGCATTCCCACCAGCAATGGAGGAGTGTCCCCCTTTCACCACATCCTCTCCAGCATAAATTGTCATTGGTGTTTTTGATTTTAGCCATTCTGACAGGAGTGAGATGGTATCTCAGAGTTGTTTTGATTTGCATTTCCCGGATGGCTAAGGATGTTGAGCACTTTCTCAAGTGCCTCTCAGCCATTTTAGACTCCTCTATTGAAAACTCTCTATTTAGTTCTGCAGCCCACTTTTTAATTGGGTCATTTGATGCTTTGGAGACTTGCTTCTTGAGTTCTTTGTAAATTTTGGAGATCAACCCTCTGTCAGATGTGGGATTAGTGAATATTTTTTCCCATTCTGTGGGCTGCCTTTTTGTCTTGCTGACTGTGTCCTTTGCCTTATAGAAGCTTCTCAGTTTCAGTAGGTCCCATTTATTAATTGTTGATCTCACTGTCTGTGCTACTGGTGTTATGTTCAGGAAGCTGTCTCCTGTACCAATTCGTTCAAGGGTACCACCCACTTTCTCTTCTAAGAGGTTCAGTGTGGCTGGATTTATGTTGAGGTCTTTGATCCATTTGGACTTAAGTTTTGTGCATGGCGATAAACACGGATCGATCCGCATTCTTCTACATGCCAGTCTACAGTTATGCCAGCACCGTTTGTTGAAGATGCTTTCTTTATTCCATTGTATATTTTTAGCTTCTTTGTCAAAGATCAGATGTTTGTACATGTGTGGGTTAATACCCGGGTTTTCAATTCGATTCCATTGGCCTACCTGTCTATTTTTGTGCTAATACCAAGCTGTTTTCAGGACTATAGCTCTATAATAGAGCTTGAGGTCAGGGATGGTGATGCCTCCGGACATTGCCTTGTTGAACAGGGTTGTTTTGGCTATCCTGGGTCTTTTGTTTTTCCATACAAAATTGATTATTGTTCTTTCAAGGTCTGTGAAGAATTGTGCTGGGATTTTAATGGGGATTGCATTGAATCTGTAGATTGCTTTTGGCAGGATTGCCATTTTTACTACATTGATCCTACCTATCCAGGAGCATGGGAGATCTTTCCATTTTCTGAGGGCTTCTTTAATTTCTTTCTTTAAAGATTCAAAGTTCTTATGATACAGGTCTTTCACTTGTTTGATTAGCATTACCCCAAGGTATTTTATGTTGTTTGTGGCAATTGTAAAGGGTGATGTTTCTCTGATTTCTTTTTCAGCCCTTTTATCATCTGTATATAGTAGGGCTACTGATTTTCTTGAGTAGATCTTGTAGCCTGCCACTTTGCTGAAGGTGTTAATCAGCTGTAAGAGTTCCCTGGTAGAGTTCTTTGGGTCATTGATGTAAACTATCATATCGTCTGCAAACAGTGAAAGTTTGGCCTCTTCCTTCCCAATTTGTATCCCCTTGATCCCCCTTTGTTGTCGTATGGCAATAGCTAGAACTTCAAGTACCATGTTGAAAAGGTATGGAGAGAGTGGACAGCCTTGTTTTGTTCCTGCTTTTAGAGGAATTGCGTTGAGTTTCTGTCCATTTAGTTTGATGTTGGCTGTTGGTTTACTGTATATAGCTTTTATTATGTTTAAGTATGTCCCTGTTATCCCAGATCTCTCCAAGACCTTTATCATGAAGGGGTGTTGGATTTTGTCAAAGGCTTTTTCAGCATCTAGTGAGATGATCATGTGATTTTTGTTTTTCAGCTTGTTTATATGGTGGATTACTTTGATGGATTTTCGTATGTTGAACCATCCCTGCATCCCTGGGATGAAACCTACTTGATCGTGGTGAATGATTGTTTTGATGTGTTCTTGGATCCGATTTGCCAGTATTTTTTTTTTTTTTTGGTTTTACGAGACAGGGTTTCTCTGTATTGTTTTGGAGGCTGTCGGTCCAGCCTGGCCTCGAACTCACAGAGATCTGCCTGCCTCTGCCTCGCGAGTGCTGGGATTAAAGGCGTGTGCCACCACCGCCCGGCCCGATTTGCCAGTATTTTATTGAGTATTTTTGCATCAATGTTCATGAGGGATATTGGTCTGAAGTTCTCTTTCTTAGTTGTATCTTTGTGTGGCTTGGGGATCAAGGTTATTGAAGCCTCATAGAAAGAGTTTGGCAAAGACCCTCTGCTTCTATTG